TTTCTGACCCTCCACACAGATGCAACACTGGAACTGCTCACTCATTTATGCCAAGAAATTTGAAGGTCAGCTACCTTGCCAAATGACTGGACTAGATCCCAATTTGTGCCCATTCCAAAGAAAGGTGGTCCAACAGAATACAGTAATCACTGAACAATAACATTAATATCACACACAAATAATGTTTCACTGAAGATAATTAAAAAAAAAATGGTTGCAGCAGTCCACAGACAGGTAACTGCCAGAAAGTCAAGCTGGATTCAGAAGAGGATATGGAACCAGGGATATCACCACTGATGTCAGATGAATCTTGGCTCAAAGCACAGAATACCAGAAAGGAGTTGTAGGGACAAAAGCAGAATTCTACAAAATGGTCACACTAATGCCAAGCCAGGAGAAATGTTTTGTCATTTTCTCTCTCTGTCATTCGCCCCCTGTTGTATAGATCCCTGACCCAGCATACCGAAACTCTTGTGTTCCCATGGGCTAGCTAATTATCTACTAGGGAGTAACAGGCACTGGGCTTTTTTTTCCTGTTTTTCTCCAAGTCTTGGCTGGAGATAGGACTCTCCTCATACCATCCCCTCCCTCCTTTCTTGGAATAATAGACTTGTTTGCCACATAAAAGAGACTCACAAGCGCCTTTCAGCATGGAAAATATTGATTATTCACCTGGCCACCACTGGAAACAGCATCTATTCTTGTTCCTGGTCAGTAAGTTTCCCTGTTGGGAAACCATCTCTTTTACTTTCTTTTCTGCAACAAACTAATGTCTCTCAGACTGTCTCCTGGTCACTTGTTCAATGTCTGGGCAATTACAGAAAGATTTTCTCCTCTGGATCTAAACCCCAACAGGCATTTCCTTGTTTTTTATTGAGGATGTAAAGGCAATAAGCTGCATAGATCATAACAAATTATGGCTAATATTTTTAAGAATGGGAATTTCAGAACACTTAGTTGTGCTCATGTGGAACCTGTACATAGACCAAGAACATTCAAACCTAATAAGGGGATATTATGTGGTTTAAAATCAAGAAAGATATGTACTAGGTTATATCTCTTCACCATGCTTATTCAATCTCATGCTGAACAAATAATTCAGAAAGCTGGACTATATGAAGAAGAAAATGGTATCTGGATTGAAGGAAGTCTCACTAACAAATTGCAATATGCAGATGACACAGCCTTTCTTGCTAAAAGTGAAGAGGACTGGATGCCTTTGCTGATGAAGATCAATGACTAAAGTCCTCAATAAGGACTTCAAAAATCCTAAAGAAAACAAAAATCCTCATAACTGGGTCAATACGCAACATCATGCGAAATGGAGAAAATAATGACGCTATCAACGATTTTATTTTATTTGGATCCACGATCAATGGCCATGGAAGCAGTAATCAAGAAATAAAATGATGTCTTGCAATGGGCAAATCTGCTGCAAAAGATTTTTTAAGTATTAAAAAGCAAATATGTCACTTTGAGGAATAATGTGTGCCTGACCCAAGCCGAGGTATTTTCAATCACCTCATGTACATGTGAAAGCTGGACAGTGAGTAAGGAAGATCAGAGAGGAATGGATGCTTTTGAATTATTGTGTTGGCAAAGAATATTGAATATCCCATTAACTGCCAGATAATGAACAAATGTGTCTCGGAAGTACAGCCAGCCGGAATGCTCCTTAGAAGTGAGGATGGTAAGACAATCTCATGGTATCAGAAGGAACTTATCCCTGGAGAACGCTTTGTTGCCTGGCAAAGAGAGTCAATGGAAAAGGCAAAGAGCCTCAAAAAGGTGGGCTGACACAATGGCTACAACAAGAGGCAATGACTGTGAGCATTGCACAGGACCAGGCGGTGGTTTATTTTGTTGTACATAGGATCACTAGGAGATGGAACTGACTCAACGGCACCTATCAATAACACAACAATAACCCTGCTCTCTGATTGCCTGAGTCTCTGGAATCTCTCTTTTCTTCACTTCCCTGATTTAGACCTTGTATTCCGCTCACCTTGTTTCACTTGGATTTTTCTAGGCTGTATCTCCATGTTATTGTGGATTCTGTGAAGTTGCCGTCTTATGTTCCTCATCCAGAATGTTGCTTTGCAATGACAGGAAATGACTGTGATGTTCTGGGATAGGTGACAATGGTCAGCTGTATATCTCACCTCCTGCTACTTTCCTTCAGTTTCTTCTTCCAATCAGTTTGACCTTCTTATTTATCCTTTTGTTTGAAACTCAGGGTTCCAGGATTATCATCTGTATCTGTGTCACCTGGTTTTTCAGGTCTTTGTTATAGAAAGTCAGTGTGGTGTATATCTCCAGATTGCCATCTTCACTCTACACTCCAATACTATTAGTTGTTGATCACATGCTACATCCTGAAATTTCTGAACACTAACCAATTCTTTTCGGTACAATGACTCTGTTTATTCAGTTCATCTAGCTGCAGTTAGACAAAAGCAAAATGTGACCAAGGAGATGTCTAAGATTAAAAATCACTGCAAGGTCCTTCTAATTTTTATTATAAAAACCTGGGAGCATATGTTTATGAAAAATTTGAAGGGTGCCAGTTCATGGAAAAGGGAAAAACAGCTTTATAATAAGAAAAATATGGTGATTCAGGTTATATGAATAATTTTGGGTTCAAAAGTCCCACTGAAATATGAATGGACATAGTTCTACAATTGTTATAAAATGATTGATGCTTGGGTTAAACAATGGTTTCTGCTTCCTCTGAATGAAGATCAGTTCCATAAATACTTTGCTACAATAAAGAGGAAGAAATTCAAAGTGCAAGGAGAAAAGGATACTATGGTAATTTATAATGTGTGACTTAATCACACACATGCCAAGCATGCCTTTACAAAAGGCTCAGAGGCAATTGCACTCACCAAGTGATTTAGAAATACATTGCTGAAAGATGCAACACCTTCATTGGGTAGCTTGGTTGTGATCATCCTTGGCATGAGAGAGGTAAAGTGGGTAAATTAAACTGGGGGCTTCCTGAGTTCCATCTATATAGTAGCACCCTGAATTAGTACTACCAAACTATATCATATGTATGGTATTTATGGCTTAAGCAATTAGCTTTATGGTCAGTATGTTAGATCAAACTGTAGGAATCTTTAGAACTAAACAATTATTCATAGTACCTCCATATATAAAAAAGAAAGGCACCTAATTACGGTCCCACTCACTCTGTATAGCCAAAGAGAAAAAGCTCCAAAATCCAAATCTAGATCTGGTAAAAAGAAGCTTGTAAAGCTGTCACAAATTTTTACTGTGTATTTTTCCTCTCTTTTTTATTTTCTCTCTCCCACTATCTTTTTTTTTAGGAACTTGTGACATTTTATCTGGAAAATTGTGAACTGGGTAAATGAAAAAAAACACATGAAATCAGTACTTAATATTCCTTATGGTAGTTGGTGTGTTTCAGCCCATCTCCCGGAGGCTTTCCCTCATTTTCACTCACCTTCTACCAAATCTTTTCTAGAAATCTGTCTTTCCTCTTCACTTATCTGAAGTAAGCTGGAAAAAAATGTCAACATCCTCTTCTCTAAGAAGCATTCTAGTTGTATTTCTTCTACTATTGATATGTTCATTCTGACATTCGATGGCCTGTTCAATATTCTTCAACAACACCAACATTTAAATGCATCAATGCTTCTTCAGTCTTCCTTTTTTCATTGTTCAACTTTCTTGTGGATATGAGCCATTTGATTTCCTGACTGTGCTCATTGTTTTTCCAAGTAGAATCAAATCCTTGACTTTCGTTTTTTTCACCATTTATCATGATGCTGTGTACCTGCCCAAAGGCTAACTCTGAGTTACCACTAATTCCAAAACACCACTATGGCTTAGCATAATGACTTCTTTGGTTACATGATGAATGGAGCATTAACCTTAGACTGACTCCCAAATTATTCAGAATGTTCACAAATGGATCCTGATTTTATTCCCTAATTTGTAAAAGGCATAACTGGAAAGTTATTGTTGGCAATAGGTAGAATACCTGCAATAGTTTCATGATCTGTAAGTGAACATGGTAGAAAACACCAAGAGAAATCTCCTTGTCAGTGTTCCCGCCTCTCAAAATGTCTTTTTAAAGAATTCAATAATGCTGAAGAAAAGTAGATCTTGGAAAGCGAATATAGACAATTGTAAACTTAATCAGATGGTGATTCCAAATGCTTATGTTAACTCAGATGTGATGTCTTTCTGTAGTAGATTAACACAAATCCTGGCAACTGGTACAAAGAATTGACACGAAAAATAATTTTTCTCCAAAAGCAGATAATACAAGAAGCAATTACTTTCATCTATTCAGGAGCTCTGGTAGCGTAGTGGTTACGAATTGGGCTACGATCCGCAAGGTCAGCAGTTCGAAACTACCAGCTGATCCATGGGAGAAAGATGAGGCTTTCTGCTCCCGTAAAGATTTACAGCCTCAAAAACCCTATATAGGGTCGCTATGAGTCGGAACCGACCCCACGGCACACAACAGCAACAATTATGGACAGCTCCTTCTTTCCTCCAGCTCTTGCTATAATTAATACAGCTCCCAATAGCCTGTATTAAATATTTTATTGCTAAATTTTCATGTAATAGATTCTGCTTTCAAAACTGAACTCTGAGAACACAATCATAGAGGTAAAAACTTCTAGATGGAAATACAGAAGAAATGGTTATTTATAATATAAAAAAATTAAAATATAAGATATTAATTATTGTTATTTTTAAGTGCCATTGAGTTGGTTCTGACTCACAGCGACCATGTACAGGGTTTCCAAGGAGCAGCTGGTGAGTTTGATCCACCAACCTTGTGGTTCAAACTGACCCTGTTGTCCAGTGCTTTATCCCACACTCTCTAAATAAGATAAAATTAAGGCTTTTATATGAACTGTTAAATATATCATGAGTGAGACCTTCTGGTATTTGAACTCTATTACTCATAAGCCATTACCAAAACCTGAAAAAAGCATCCTTCTGTATAAAGAATGTTTCTAGCTAATCATTTTTTTTAGGGCTTGCTTGATATCCTTGTTTCTAAGACTATAGATAAATGGGTTCAGCATGGGTGTGACCACAGTGTACATCACTGAAGCTATTGCACTTTCCATGGGGTTTTGGGTAGCAGCAGAGCTAAGATACACTCCAACAAATGTACCATAGAACAAGAAAACTACTGAAAGGTGAGACCCACAAGTGGAAAAGGCTTTAAACTTGCCTTCAGTTGATGACATTTTCAAAATGGAAGATATAATCTTAGAGTAAGAAAGAAAGATCCCAGTGAGTGGGATAACACCAAGAAGTCCAATTACAAAATATATCACTACATCATTGAGGAAGGTGTCAGAACAAGCGAGGTGGACTACTTGATTAAGTTCACAGAAAAAGTGGGGAATTTTCAACTCTGTACAGAAAGAGAGTCGCAAAATCATTAAGTCATGCAGCAGAGAGTCCAAAGCACTCAGCAGCCAGGATGCTAGTAGCAAAAGGCCACATAACTTGGGGCTCATGATGACTGTGTAATGCAGTGGGTGGCAGATAGCCACAAATCGGTCATAGGACATCACTGTCAAAAGGAAGTTGTCTAATTGTCCAAAAAACATGAAAAAATACATCTGGCTGAGGCAGCCTTCATAGGTTATGATGTGGCTTTGTGTCTTAATGTTTAACAGCATCTTTGGGACAGTGGTGGAGGTGAAACAGATGTCAACAAATGACAGGTTGGAGAGAAATAAGTACATGGGCGTGTGGAGGTGGGAGTCTGTAATAATGGCCAGGATAATGAGAAGGTTCCCAATAAAGGTGGTCAGGTACATGAACAGGAATAGCCCAAACAGAAGGGGCTGCATCTTTGCCTCTTCTGAGAGTCCCATGAGAATAAATTCTGTAACACGTGTTTGGTTTCCTGGTTCCATATTGCTGATAAAACTGCAGAAAAGAGACAAGAGCAATGTGATTTAACCATAAGTAAGACTCCTTATGTGGAGCTGTAGGATCAGAACTGGACTGTGAACCACAGGGTTGGCAGTTCAAACCCATCAGGAAACCCTATACAGGGAGGCTATGAGTCGTAACTGACTTGACGGTACTTAACAACAACAACAATTGATCAATAACTGAACAAAAATACTACAATCTGTATTTTAAAAAATGTTTTATTAATTATTGCAAGGTTGGTGGTTCAAGCTCACCAGATGCTCCTTGGAAACACTTATAGGGTCGCTATGGGTTGGAATCGACTCGACGGCACTTTACAACAACAACAACATATATTACTTAGTACCACATAGATGAAAATGTCATGGAATTCCAAAGATTATATCTTCACTGTGATGTTGAAACTGACTAGCAATCCTTGCCCATGGTCACAAACAATCATTTTCCCAAGGCAATCATTTTTCTCTAGAAATTCCTTGAAACTTTCTTGTTTTTATTCAACAAATATTTTGACCAATTATTTTGTGTCAAGTACTATAAGGAACTCTGGTAGCGTAGTGGGTACGAATTGGGCTGGTAACCACAAGGTCAGCAGTTTGAAACTACCAGCTGTTCTGAGGGAGAAAGATAAGGCTTTTTGCTCTCGTAAAGATTTACCAGCCTTGGAAATCGTGCGCAGGGTCGCTATGAGTCGGAACTGACTCCGCGGTACCTAACAACAACAACAAGTATAAGCACGAAACTGCGAACCACAAGGTCGGTGGTTTGAGCTCCATCGGAGAAAGATGAGGCTTTCTGCTCCTGCAAATATTGACAGTCTCAGAAACCTTATACAAGTTGCTATGCGCTGCAACTGACTCCACCACCCTCAACAACAACAATAACAACATTGTTAAATGCACTGGAAAGCAGCAGTGAAATTAACTTAAAAAACATTTTCCCTTAGAAGTGACTGGCTTACAAGCTTTCAAGAGGGAGCCTAGATCCAGATAGGGCAGGGGGAGGTAGAATCTCCACTCGATGATTTCCAATCTGTTGGGAAGGGGCTAATGAAAGGAGATGGGGATAAGACTTGTGCGGTATGATAGTGAATAATTGCTATCAGGACTGTGAGTCGGAAATGTAAAGGTAGATATTTTGTAACATAAGGTGGGGAGTGACTGACTTTGTAGTCCAGGAGCAGAGGTCCCTGGGACCAGTGGAGTGCGGGGAACCCACCCAGAGAAGCAGTGACGTCAGAAATGGAGGCAGAGATGATGATGTGGACAGATGGAGAGGCTGGCAACACTGGACCCAGGGAGGGAGAGGGGTTGTGTGTTGACCACTGGGGGCAGGCCTGTGGGGTGTACCCTTTGGTTGTTTGATGATGCATGGAGGGGATTGTAATCATTGCAATGAAATGAAGTACGATAGGATGAATGTAAAATTGATGTTCTCCCTTGCAAACCCACATTAAAAAAACAAAGAAAAAAACCCACCGTAATCGTGAAACACTGAGACAGGTTTGCATGGGCTAAATGGGACAGAGGTAAATAGTGATGCATGCTCAACCTTGGAACAACAGGGCTCTGTGATACAGGGATCAAGGCATAGTTTGAAGAGGGGATATAATACTAAGATGCTTGACTGCCTTATGTGTATTGGTTTCCCTTGGCTACTATTGTAAAATGGACACTTGAGTTGGATAGAAAGGAATGTCGGGAAACATGATCACAGAAAGTGTGAAAGCCCAGCTTCAGCCTTTAACTGATTGGAATATCTAAAAGGGATTCTACAACTTGCCCAGTGAAATAGGCCTCCAGTGGAGCATTTGCAGTGTATAGGACCTTAGGTGGAATCCTGAGCCTCATCCAGAACCTTCTGAGGTGGGACATTCCCATTAGAAAGGACTAGCAGATCAGTCTGGAACAGCTAGAGTGACAGAAAATACAACTTTTCAAAGAAAGATCATCAGGAAAAACCCAAAACAAAAATGGCAGTATGACTGGCTACTACAAAAATAAGCAGTTTTTTTTTGCCAGGAAGCCATCAAGGCAAGCAATTACGTTCTTTCAGGACAAACCCCCCTCTGAGACTGAAACTCAAAGGGAACACATGAGCAGGTATGTAAGCTTGCTGACGACCACATTGGTCAACCTGTGAGTAGAAGAGAGGGAAATGCAGCAGTGAAGAAATGGGCTGAGTTCAACCACGTTCCATAGACTCCTGTTGACCTGCAGATGAGAGAGAAAAGAGGAAGGGCTGGTTGGTCCAAAGTGTGGTGAGATCTGGGGACACCTGATGGACAAGGACATAGCCACAGAGGGCTATAACTGAGAGTGAAGCATCCAGCTGGTATGAAGTAAGAGGAAGTGCACAAGAACACCCAAAGTTGCAAATAGTACCTATTTGACCTAGCTTCAATGGCTTGATAATAAGAACTCGACTAGAGGAAGATAAAAAAAAAAAAAAAAAAAACAAAACACCTTTTAATAAAGGAAACAAGGATAAATTGCTACAGTTTAATGAACTTGACCTTTACTCATTCAGGTAGTAACTCTAAATACCAACAGAGAGAGAAGGAGTCTTCACATCAAGTATCAATGCTATCCCTTCTGTACATAGGGTAGATAGGGACGGGCAACTTAGACATTGGCTACCTAAAATGAGGGGGTGATAAAGGCACGAAGTGACAGGCTTACAAGGTTTCAAGGGGGAGTTTAGTTTAACAGTGTGTGGGGAAAAAGAGTCCTCTCTGAATGGTTTTCATCTTGTCTAGATGGGTCTGGTAAAAAGAGATGTGGATAAGATTCTTATAATTCAACAGTGACTAATGATCATTATGATTAATTGCAACTGTCACAATTGTAAAGGTAGAAGTTTTGTAACAAAAATGCAGGTGTAGTTAATTTTGCAGTCTAGAAACAAAGAATCCTAGGACCGTCAAGGGAGAAGAGCACAAGCGGAATGCGAGACCTTATCCAGATAAGCAGTAACACCCGAGATGGAGGCAGAGATGGGGACATGGAGAGAGGGAGCAGCTGAGGACTCTAGATTCATGGAAAGAGAGGGACGAAGAGCTGGAGGCCAGGAGGCAAACTTGCAGGATGTGCCCTTTGTTGGTTTAAATTATTATATATGCCTGAGTGTTTTTTGTTTTCAAAAAAGAGGAGCTAAAGTGATTAGAGAGAAAGACTGTTAACTGATGGTACACAGAGGGGATTATTATCATTGTAATGAAACAAGGTATATGATTTGTTGAAAGTAAAACTGATGATTTGCCCTATAAACTTTCACTCAATCCACAATAAAAACCTTAAAAAAATTACCCTTAAATTTTATTTCAGTATACTTTTGTATTGAGGGAGCAATAAAATATTGATGAAATAGTAAATAACAGAATCCTGTTGTGTACTGTAGAATAAGCACTGGACTGTTAACCACAAGGTTGGCAGTTCAAACCCACCAGCGACTCCTCAGAAACCCTGTACAGGGTGACTATGAGTCAGAATTGACTCCACAGCACTTAACAACAACATTTTATGTGGTGATCATTATTAAGTGAAATAATGCAGAATAAGGAAGTTATAGAGTAAAAAATACATGCTTCTTTGTATAGTCACCTTTGAGTAGACTATCTGAAGGCAGTGGAATTTGAACCAAGATCTCTGTGATGCAACTATTTCGGGCAGAGAAGCAGCCAGTGCAAGTCCCCAACAGGAGCATTCCAGGTCCCATCAGGAAACAGTAAAGAGGACGATTTGACTGATGAAGACATCAGAGAGGTTGTAGGAAGGCAAAGCTCCTAGCACATGGAATCCCATGTCCATTCTATTCTTTACATTTCCATCTCTAATGTTATGTATATAATTACATGTATTATTTATCATATATATACATGAACATAATCTATCCCTTCATAAAGTACACTTTCTCTCCCTCTTCTTCCATTTAAACTACATTTTTAAAGTCTTTATTGTGGAATACTGTTTCATCTAGAGATATCTGCTCAACTTTGTTTCTTTCATTAATATCCTCCTTCATTAAATACCTACTACTTCCTCCCCACCACATCCGCAACCATGATTGTGGTATTATATACTGCTCTACCTGAAGTGTACTTGATTGAGCCAACAAAAACACTCTAAAAGATAAAATGTTTAGTTTGACTCTCCCCTGAGAATTGGGTTTTATAAATCAGAGATTCCAGTTGGTTCGTTATGGTTGTAGAGATATCAAGACCCAGTCAGCCCCCATGCTGGGTATGCTTTGATGATCGCATGCCATATGTGTGGAAAAGGAAAGAAAATCAGTCTACCTAAATGGAGAGAAGAAAGACATGAACTAGAAAAGGGAAGTGTAGAGATGAAAGTTGGCATAAAATTATGAAAGCATGACAGGGAATCAACTCAACAAGTGATGTGGTCAGAACTACAGTTCCAAGTCCACAGTGACAATACTCACTTAGATACATATTTACAGTCTTTATAAAAGAAAAAGATTTATCTCCTAATACTATCATAACAGCTTAGAAATATAAATAAATAAAAAATGAAAATGCACAGAATTATTTCTGTAGATTTTTTTTTTTGGTAGAAAATTTATGGAATTCAAACAAAAGTTTTCCAACATTTATAAAAAATGAATTTTGAAAATGCTTGTTCATGGGTTATTTTTTAAAAAATTAGTGAAATGCTAGTGAATTTTATAAAATATGTAAGGAAAACTGAAACGAATTCTGCATAATATATTCTAAATATTTCTTAACTCATCCTAGAAAATCAGCATTGCCCTAATTTTCAAAACATATGTGGACATTACAAGAAGGGGAAACTAAAGACCAATTTCTTTAATCATATATCCAAATACCCTATACAAGATATAAGCAAATAAAATTCAACAATGTACAGAAATATACACTATGGTCCAGTGATAAAGGCCCATAGGTGGGACAAAATATTTGTGGTACTGTAGGATAAACACTGGACTGAGAACCACC